CTTGAAGCTTAACAAAATGTTCAGCTGTACTACTAACAGCCTGAGGAATTGTGTCATGTTAGTGTCTACTTTTGCAAACTTTTGAATGAATGTATTCTACAATAATATTCCATTGGGTTTTTGTGAACTTTTAATTAAATGTGAAATCTTTACAAAAATACACTGCCTCTGATTTTTTTCCAATTTGCACCAAATCTGAGTGCAATTTTCTCATCATTCCAACAGTCTCATCTGTCAGCATCCCGTCTGTTTAAATGCAGACTGGCCTTTACGTCTCTCTGATAATGCTCTAAGTGTTTAGGTCTTGTTTTAGTAAGGTTTTAGCATTTTTTTCACTGCTGGTCCAGACCTTTCCTAGTCAAACATTATATTGCATTATCTTTAAAGGTACCGACCCATTGGACTCTTCCAAGTTACATTGGATTTTATGAGTTAGTTGAGCTTAATTTGTGCTTTTTTAATGATAAACTGTCAGAGAGAAAATTCCATGCTGGAATATACTGGTGAAAGATCTCAGTCATCCAGGTCATGATCAACAGAAAAAAAAGTTTAAAAAAAAATCAAAAAGACAAAACAACTGGACTTCTATTCTAAAACTGAAGATATTTCACTTCCCAAAATAGTTTTGTGGAAAGGCAGGTAGTGTTATTAGAATATCAGTAATTCTCTGGTTGTCAACTATACAAAGATCGTCCCACCTTGAACATTTGGACTTTTGTCTTTTGTGTTTGAACTCGTAAAAGCAGTTTATGCAGAAGAAAAACTTGTACGCATTGACAATATGGAATCATAATATTAAAATCATTAACACTAGCCCACTTTATTCATCAAATTATCATACATTTCAAAATAAAAGCATTCTGTAAAAATCATATTTGTATAACTTTCATAATAATGACATGATCCATTTCATCTCAAATTTCCAACGTAAATAATTTMATTTCATACAAATGGCTTTGGGTTTATTATAGTCTTTCCTCCACTGTAAACCATCAGCAGAATCTGGGCTAAAATGCARCCTCTAGGCTGTGTCTTCATTGTTGGCCTAGTAGCCTACTTTTTCTCATTGTCTCAGCACTCTTGCGAAATCCTGCTGCACATCCTGCAGTATTTGATTGCAGATGGCTTGTGTATCTTTGTGAGCTTGTTTATTTACACTTATCATCTGATTTTAATCCTTTTTCTATTTTCTAAAATTACTAAAAAAGTAAGAAATATAAAAAGCGCTGCTCTATAGGAGGCGGTGTGCGCTGCTGGCTATCTGGCTCCAGTTTTCATGTTCTGTCAAACGCTGATAACTAACTTTACAGAGGTTACTTTGAACTCAGTTCAATTATGTTTTAATATCCCAAAGGTAGAGATTGACCTAAATAACCAGTCTGTGTTGTCTTACAAATCTCTTTATGTGCATTTTCTTAACTTACTTAAGTGCTTTTGGATGCTGTACAAAATTTTCCGGAAACTTTTAGAATATTTGATCAGAAGTATTTCACATGATACATGGCTTTTCAGTCTTATTTCATAAACAGTTCAAACCCTTTGTAATGTGAATTTTCTGCTTCCTCCTCCTGAAGTTACAGTTGATTTATTGATCCTTTTACTTGCCCTCTTTTGTTTTTCATCAATACAAAATGTATTATTTTTCTCCAGATGGCCCTTTTTCTTGACCATTTGTCTCCTGTGCCTTTAAGACAGATTTTTCTTCTCTTGTGACCTTTTTGCAATTACTGAGAAGATACCGTATCTAGATAGCTTCAACACTATCTCATATTATTGCCCCTTTTTACTATCCCTTCCAAGCGTGCAAGAAAAAGCAGACATTTGCATGAAAATTACTTTGGTACAAAAATACAACATTGTAAGCTCACACAAATGTCAAAACAAAAGAGGTTTTTACATTTTTCCCATCACATTAGGTTAAATCTGATATATTTAAAAGCAATAAGGATGTATGAGCTGCCTGTGATGGAGTCAGTCTCCTGCTGAGAGCCAACATTTGAGCTGCATTTACACATTATGCAGAATATTATAGGTTTAGTGCTGGGCTGTTACATCAATATAAACTGCAGTGTGTGTGTGTGTGTGTGTGTGTGTGTGTGTG